TTTGCGGATACAGATTAACACGGCTGCTACTCTGAAACTTTTCAGATAAAATAAATGAAAAGATTTCACTATCTACCAGTTTTTTGTGGGGCAAACAATTCTTTTGGTTCTTCATTTTACACACACACACACACACGGCTAAAATTATTTAGATTTTGTAAGCTTTTGTTTGGGGGCAAGGATTGTTTTTTTGGTAAGTGTGTGTATAGTGCTCAGCACAATAGGGCCTCTAGGCATCATCACAAATACATCAATTATAAATCATAAAAAAGCGTGGGAAGTATTCCCCAATTCTGGCTTGTTATGTACTAACAGAATAATTTGGTGAGCAACACACACTCACCAACACTTCCAGCTTATTCCCAGGTCTAAGACACAAACCATGGTTGTGAAATAGCTGTGAAGCAAAGGGCACAGGCATGCAATGCTTCCTCCTGTTTCTTCCGTTTAGGAGCCCTGTGGGCAGCCTGAGTAAGACTCTATTTAACTGCTCCCCTCTCCCCCACACACCCACTCCCAACAAGAGAAAAGGAAAAATGGATGTTTTTGGCTGGGAGGAGAGGCTAGTCAGTGTGATTTTTTTCTGGGCAAGAGAGTGTGTGTGAGAGAAATTTGAGAGGAGGCAGAGAAAGCTAGTGATGGTTAAGAGAGGGTAGGTGATGGACTGTGCTAAGAGACCTTGAAACGGAGCACACTAGGAAATGCAGGGAGCTAGATCTGGTTCCACAATTGTTGAAGCCTCCTGAACCTGTTAGCTTTTTTTTTTCTATGAAGAACTAATCACTAAGCTGACGAAATTACAGAGGAAATGGTGAAGGGGGAAAAAAAAACAAGACAAAAAGGATGGAAGGACTGATGTGGATAGAGAAGATCAGAGCGGGACGAAAGGAATGATAGACATGGATGAGTGAAGGATTGAAAGAATGTGCAAGACAGCAAAACACAAGAAAAGTGAGGGGGAAGGGAAGGTGCTAGATGGAGAAGAAAGAAAGAAAGAAAGAAAGAAAGAAAGAAAGAAAGAAAGAAAGAAAGAAAGAAAGAAAAGGGCGAGGATGGGAGAGCATGCCTACGGGCCAGAGTCTGCAACCTTCACTCACCATAAAGAGGTCAACACTTTTCAAATAGTCCCACTGATTTCAAGGGGACTAGTTAAGTAGTACAGCTCTAATTGTAGTGAGTAAGGTTATGACAACATAGTCTCAGGGTATTAGAACATAACTTGTTTAAATGAAAAAAACCCAGAAAATATAGACTGGGCAACTTACTGTAAACTATGTGAAGAATAAAGACAGCGGGTAAAATTCTGGCCTTACTGAAGTAATGACAACACTCCTGTTGATGTCAGTCAAAAACTTCTGGGACTAGGATTTCACCCAGTTTGCCTAAATGTAATTAAAATTGTCCCAGATGGGATTGTGTAACATCAGTTAGGGCACTCTAAAGGAAGGTAGAATTGTAAGCCTAAAGGATGTTGTTTTGACTTCCTTCCTTCCATCTGACTCTGCCCTAAAAGCCGTTCCACAGAGTCTGGATATTTTCCCCAACCTATTATTCAATAAGCCCTAGCCACTCACCAACATCCATTAGCTATCTCTGTTCCTTACCTTCAGTAGATAGGAGACGGCTTCCTCTTGCTCTGGTAAAGATCCAGATGTCACCCATTACTCATGTCTTGAATGTTTGCAATACTATCAGTTGCAAAGGATGCCAAGTCAGCCGCTTTTCCTTGGCCAGCAAAAATGGAAGCAGCAACAGCAGAAGCGAGAGCAGACTCTGGGGAGGCAACTCCTTGCATAATACTAGCCAAAGCATTCTTGGTTACTATACATACAGAGAACAGCTATTTATAAGTTTACAAATAACAAATTATAAGGACTTGTGCTATTACCTTTTATAGTCAAAAGGAGGTGTTTCCCTCTGATCATATTTGAAATCTGCAGTCAGTCAAACTCTAGCCAAAATGGAGCTATATACCTGCATACATTTTAGCTTGCTTAGCAACGAACAATATGCAGGCAAATGCTCTTATGCAGCCATGTAGAAAATGTGTATTAAGAAAGATATGTCTGTGTAAGCAAAACATGGATAAAAATTAAATCTGAAACGTGATCTCCATGTAAGAAGCAGTAACAAGTTTAAAACACTGACTTCCTTTATGAAAAAGTCCTATTGAATTCAAAAAGGAAGGAAGCCAACATAAACTGAAGATCATGCCATTGAAATTAGCTATGACAAATAATCTATTAAATTCTGTAGGTTAATTTAAAAATTATCTAAGAAAGATCTAATTTGCTATTAAATTCTACAAGACTTCTCCTATGGGATTTTCCTTTTGTTTAACTGATAGGCTGGATTTTTAAATATTACTATAGCCATTCACAGTCAATGAATTCAGGTTAAGATTTTCAGTTAGGGTCCTAAATAAAGTGGGCTGATTTTCAGAAGTGCTGAGTACCAACCACACCCATTAGCTTCACTGAAATGGCATGATATAGTTAATTATGCATCAAATACATACCAATACATTTAGAATTTATTGGTGGGTGTGGGTGAATGAACATCAGCTGTGTAACGTAAACCCCAGACTGGGTTAACTTCAAGGAGGCACACTTTCAACATTTACGTTATCCTGCTTATTCTAAAAGTTGTAATATTATTCTAACTTTTATTGTCCATATTATTAACTACTTGCTTAAACACGTTGCTGAAAACAATGATTTGGAGCATTTCCTTTTAGAGAACAGACAGTCCAATCAACTGGAAGACAGTACTAGATTCCAGCGGTTCAACAGTGCTCAAATGTGATTCTCTCCATTAAGTCTATGGAACTTCCTAGCTGATTTGAAGAATTCTTTCTAGAGCCGATGGAGTCGGTTCTGTCATGTGGCACAGGTCACTATGCAGTGACAGCACAGTTTAAAAGTCTGATCATGATAACCATGTTAATTTAGTTAGTAAGATATAAACAAGCAAAATAACATTTGTGATAGAAAATAATTATCTTGTAATGCAGATTGCACAAAATGGGGAGCATAAAAAAGTTATTTTTATGTGCTGGGGATGACTGCGTAAGTCGTAAGTAGCAGAGCAAAGCAGAGCCACGAGTCATTTATGCATGGTCATCCCTAATATACAAAAATAACTTGTTGATTCTTCCCCTGTGTGTTATATTTATACCCTAGACAGCTCTGTTTTACTTAGGTTATTTGCTGTTGCTGATTTTAGTGAAAACATACATTCGGAATGGAAGGCACATTTGCTTTTACAAAGTAATTAACTGTAAATTTGATTAGGGAGGCTCTTCCACCTACGTGAATGAAACCTCCCCTGGTATCAATAGGAGTTTGTGTGCATAGAGACTCTAAGTGAGTAAGGTACCTAAGCACATGCCTAATTTTAAGTGTGGGTGCAGACTTATTGAAGTCAATGGAACTCACAGGCTTAAAGATAGGCATGTGCTTAGATTCTTTGCCAAATCTTGGCTCGATTAAGCTCTGGAGAGTAATCCCCTCTGGAGAAGGGACAACATCAGCATGCTCCACCACTAGTCTCCATGCCCAGTTCAGTCTTCAGCCTCTTTGCTGAGATGGCCAGTTGAGGCCGATTAAGGCTGTAGCTGATTTTGTTATCAGACAGAACTGGACTGGGCTACCAGTTCATTGTACATGGAACCCAGCTATCAGACAGTATCAACTTTCAGTCACTACCAATCTAGGTCAGATTTGTGCTAGTGACCTTAGAGCTAAATCAAAATATGCTCAGGTCTTTTTTACAGGCAGAGACACAGGGTTTTTTCTTTCGTACATAAAAACATTATCAGTTCCTGGTTGTACTTTGCTTTGACCACCTAATATGTACTTTTCACCAGGCATTTGTACTTTTACCCTGACCAGGGTTTCTCAAATTTTTTCATAGCACGGACCACATCCCCTCCCATAACATCCCTGTGGCAACCATATCAATGGATTACAAGGAATACAAAATGTTTTAAACATGTTAAACATGCATCTGTTGCTAACACAATGCTCTGCATTTCATCCTGCTCTCTCTCACCTCTTCTGCTCTCCCACCTGTTCTCTTGCACATGTTTCATTACCAACTGGTCATCTTCTCCTTACTTCCCCTTGCACATATGTTCCTTCCCCTTTGAACCCCTGTTTTCCTTGACACGCTGTTCAGCTATCTAGTATTCTTCTCCATTTACTCAGCCTGCCTGGCTACCTAATTCCTTCCACCCCGGACAGTCTTATCCCACTCCTAGCTGGCAGCTGTACTCCCACTGGTCCCAGAGCATCTCCTGTTTCCTATTCTCTTCTTATGTAGCAATTGCCTCTATCAGAGATGGCTAGGCTGGATCCTGCTCCTTGTTTACAGCGCTCCACAATTCTTTGTTGCAGTGAGTAGCCTGGTCATCAACAGGAGCAGCTGGAAACAAGGGCAGCCAGCACCATGTGACCAGCCAGCTCTCCAGAGACTATCAGCAAATCTGCTAAATCTAGGGATGAACACTGTTCACAAGACCAGAAGCAGAAGGAGGGTAAAGGTGGCTTTACAACACATTTTTGGCATCAGGATTCTTTAACTGATCTGCACTAAGCCTCGCTGCTCTAACTTGTATTGACTGCCCATGGCTGCATAGAGACGCTCCAACCACAGGTCCTTTATCCTGATCACAACCCTTCCGTTGGGAGGTGAGTGATATATAGCAGCCTCTATGGCAGGTCTACACCATCCCGAGGATTCCCCAAAAGAGGGGTTAGTTAAGCTCGTTTTTGAGCTGCTGGAATGAGTTGGCTTTGGGATGCTAGAGTGGGGCTGATAATCTGGCTCCTTTTCTCTATATGCATACACTTGTGCTATGTTTATATTTTCTGTGCACATACTGTTCTCCTATACTGTATGTATTTTAGAAGAGTGTACGAATATTTTGGAAGATATTTTATGCACAGTAGTCTTCTTTTCAGGTCTCAGCAAAATGTTCCCAAATAAATCAAACTCAATATGATTTAGAGTTTTATTACAAAATGGGTTTTGAACCGTGGGCCTATTTCTGGTTCTACAACAAAACCACACCTCAAAAATCATTATATTACATCTGATTTTGATGCAAACCAGCTGGAAATTCAGATGTTTCTTTGAGTTTTGGGGCTTGCTGAAACCCCAAACTTAAAGCAGAATTTATGGGATACACAACCACATGAAGACATGCTGAGTTTCACACAGGTTCATTAATGCCACACAGAGGTACACATAGTTCAAATTATGTGTTTCAATTCTAGCTACATATGTTTCTCTGGGTTTTTTTTCTGACTACTACAGTTCATCAACAGTATCTTGATTATTGCTTTGTTTTTTGTAGTTTGTCCTTGATGGTCTTTCTCTCTTTTAACAATGTGGAATTTTGTCATTGATTTCAACTAGAGCTGGATTATACCAAGAAAAATTTTATCCTTAGCACATTTTCCAGTGTGGAAAAAGCTTGAGTGAATTCTCTGAGCTTTTAGGATTGAGATCTTGTGTGTGCAGAGGAGGCTTTCATTCTTGCTTTTAGGAAAGAAGTGCTTGTGGTGATTAAATTCTTAATTTTAATCTCTTGTGATCAGCTCTAAGTTTCAGAAAGCTAACTCTAATCTATAGTTGTGATGAGGATTCTACTAAATACCAAGGTTTTATGATAATTTAAGAGGCTAAAAGGTGTTAATTTCCGCACAAAGTCAGTAGTGCAGCAAGGAGAAGAAGAAAAAAAAAAGTCTAGCAACACACAGACTTCTGTAAAGTCCTGAAGATGGTTAACGCTGAAAACAGCAAGTTCAGAATGTACAGTAGAAACTACATAGTTGTATTCTGGGGGCCAGGTCCAGCAAACTATTACACACAAGTAACTTTACACATCTGAGTAATCCCACTGAAGACAGAGTATATAAAACAGTGACAATGAAAGATCTGTTATATTAAAATGCAAAGTGTAATATCTTCAGGAGACTGAAAGTTGAGTTTTCTGAAAACACCCTCTGACAGTCTTTTCTGGGAGACTATGAATTTATGAGAAAAATAATTTCAGATTATTATTTTTCTTCTTCACTTTGGGACATGAGCTCAATTGAGTAACATAGGCATGGACATAATGTCTGCTAATAATAAAAAGTAATTGGCAAAAAAACAGAAATACAATGGAGACAGAGTAGGAAAACTCCAAAGGAAGCTGCTGGCAAATAAATATTGCTCAACATGAAAATAATATTGGGGGAAAAATTGACGGAGTGGAATAACAGGAAGCTTAGTCATTTCTGGAAGGAAAAAAAACAAAAGAGAAAGTTAGAGGGAAAGAGAAGTGGGTGGGGAAAGCAAGGTATTTAAAACAAGAATGCAGAACTGGAAGTGCAAGTGCTGAAAGATAGATAAGAACTAGGGCTGTCAATTAATCGCAGTTAATTCACGCGATTAACTCAAAAATTAATCACGATTAATTGCACTTATAATAATAGAATACCAATTGAAATGTATTAAATATTTTTGAATGTTTTTCTACATTTTCAATATTGATTTAAATTACAACACAGAATACAAACCGCACGGTGCTCACTTTATATTATTATTTTTTATTACAAATATATGCACTGTAAAAATAATAATCAAAAGAAACAGTATTTTTAATTCACCTCATACATGTACTGAAGTCCAATCTCTTTATCATGAAAGTGTAATTTACAAATGCAGATTTTTTTTGGTTACATAACTGCACTCAAAAACAAAACAATGTAAAACTTTAGAGCCTACAAGTCCACTCAGTCCTACTTCTTATTCTGCCAATCCCTAAGACAAACAAGTTTGTTTACATTGACGGGAGATACTGCTGCCTGCTTCTTATTTATAATGTCACCTGAAAGTGAGAACAGGCGTTCGCATGGCACTTTTGTAGCTGGCGTTGTAAGGTATTTACATGCCAGATATTCTAAACATTCGTATGCTCCTTCCACGCTTCGGCCACCATTCCAGAGGACATGCTTCCATGCTGATGATGTTCATTCATTAAAAAAACAAAACAAAAAAAACAACGCATTAAATTTGTGACTGTACTCCTGGGGGGGGGGGTAATTGTATGTCTCCTGCTCTGTTTTACCTGCATTCTGCATAGATTTCATGTTATAGCAGTCTCGGATAATGACCCAGCACATGTTTGTTTTAAGAACACTTCCACAGCAGATCTGATGAAACACATAGAAGGAAGTGTACTTGTGGCACCTTAGAGACTAACCAATTTATTTGAGCATGAGCTTTCGTGAGCTACAGCTCACTTCATCGGATTCACCTGTCATAGAAGGAGGTAACAATGTGAGATTTCTAAAAATAGCTACACCGTTTAACCCAAGGTTTAAGAATCTGAAGCGCCGTTTAAAATCTGAGAGGGACGAGTGTGGAGCATGCTTTTAGAAGTCTTAAAAGATGTGGAAACTACAGAACCCGAACCACCAAAAAAGAAAATGAACCGTCTGCTGGTGGCATCTGACTCCGATGATGAAAATGAACATGCGTCAGTCTGCACTGCTTTGGATCGTTAGCAAGCAGAATCCATCATCTGCATGGAAGCGTGTCCTCTGGAATGGTGGTTGAAACATGAAGGGGCATATGAATCTTTAGCGCACCTGGCACATAAATATCTTGCAATGCCAGCTACAACAGTGCCATGTAAACACCTGTTCTCACTTTCAGGTGACATTGTAAACAAGAAGCAGGCAGCATTATCTCCTGCAAATTGTAACCAACCTTGTTTGTCTGAGTGATTGGCTGACCAAAAAGTAGGACTGAGTGGACTTGAAAGCTCTAAGGGTTTACATTGTTTTGTTTTTCAATGCAGGGGTATTTTTTGTACGTAATTCTACATTTGTGAATTTGACTTTCAAGACAAAGAGACTGCACTACAGCAATGTTTTTCAAAGTTCAGGTTACGGAATGCAAGGCACTGGGTCACCTTGCTCAGCACCCAGGGACCCTGGTGGTCGGCCAGTAAAAACTAGTAGTTCCTACCTGTTCTGACACCGCGCTGCACCCCAGAAGGGGCCAGCAGCAGGTCCGGCTCGTAGGCAGGGGGCCACGGGTCTCCACATGCTGCTCCCGCCCCAAGCACCGGCTCTGCACTCCCACTAGCTGGTTCCCAGCCAATGGGAGCTGGGAGGGGGCCAGTGCCTGCAGGCAAGAGCCACGCGGAGCCACTTGCGTGTCTCTGTCTCGGAGCTGGACCTACTGTTGGCTGCTTCCAGGGCACAGCATGGTCCACAGTAACAGGACAGGCAGGAAGCCTGCCTCTGCATCCTGGCTGTGCCGCTAACTGGGAGCTGCCGGAGGTAAGCCTGCACCACAATCTCCTGCCCCAGCCCTGAGCACCCCCCAAACCCAGAGCCCCTTCCTACACTCCAAACCCCTCATCCCCGGCCCCATCCCAGAGCCCTGACCCCCTCTTGCACTCCAACCCCTTGCCCCAGCCCAGAGCCCCTTCTCACACCCTGAACCCCTCATTCCTGGCCCCACCCCACAGCCCTCATCCCCGCATGCCAACCCTCTGCCCCAGCCCTGAGCCCCTCTCACACTCCAAACCCCTCATCCCCAGCGTCGTTGAGCCACGGCCATCAAGAATTTTCTTCAACTGGGTTGCCAGAAAAAAAGTTTGAAAACCACTGCACTACAGTACTTGTAATGAGGTGAATTGAAAAATACATTTTTTTTGTTTTTTTACAGTGCAAATATTTGTAACCAAAAATATATATAAAGTGAGCACTATACACTTTGTATTGTGTTGTAACTGAAATTGATATATTTGAAAATGTAGTAAACATCCAAAAATCTTTAAAATGAATGGTATTCCATTGTTAACACCACGATTAATCACGATTAATTTTTTTAATCACTTGACAGCCCTAATAAGAACTAATTGGGCTAACTGAATTGAGCTAAAAAGGGTATCTGACTGGCATATGGAAATATCAACACAATTTATAAGAGGAATAAACAAAAACAGAACAGAAGGAAGTGTGCTGTTACAGATTAAAGACTGAAAAATTAAAAAAAAATAAAAGGATGATATGCTGTATTGTATGTAGTGCACAGACAAAACCTAGATCAATGTAAAAAGCAAAGCAAATGTAAAAAACAAGCAACTACTCAAAGTGACAGATTTTGGAGCAAGGGAAGAGATCAGATAGGAAATACTAAAGTAGATCAAGGAGGCCTTGAAATAAGCTATCGTGTTAATTAAGAGATAAGTTTAATTATGAAAATCTCAATGACCCTGGAATTAACTAGGATAGTGACTATGGAAGAACTGAGGAAGCAACATATTTCTATAGCTGAAACACAATCTACTGAGTATCAGCAACATCCAAAACTACTGTGGGATAACCTTAGAAAGTGAATCATATATGACAAATGAGATATCATTCTTTAATCTGAAATAATTCCAAAGGTCTTTATAGACTACAGTATACAAAGAAATCACTTGACTCAATCTTGGAATGCAACAATACAAAATAATTCATGACGGGATGAAGAGTATTTTATGCAACTGAAAGTAACGGGAGATTTAAGGTAGGCCTAGTGTTCCTTAAGTCAAACAGTGGAATTTAGACAGAACCCCAGAGCTGATAAAGTTGGAGAATATGTCGGACCCTACATTTTTCATAAAGTTAACAGATTTGAAAAGGGTCTCAAGCAACATACTGATCAAATTGAAAAGGGTACGTCTTACAAGCTTTGGAATTTGGGGGGGGGAAGGATGTGTGTGTAAATGAAGTGAAATCAAATCAAATAGTCAGATAATCTTTTAAATTTGTGAAGCCTTAAAGATACAATGTGCAGTGACTTACAGAGTATGGATTATGCATAGGTATAGTAACAGATAGAAGAGGCACCAGAAACAAATCTTTAAAAAAGAACAGGATCAAAGATACTGAGGTAGCATTTTAACATATTATCTGGTTTGGTAAATGGAAAGAATAGGTGTATTTGAGAAGGAAAAATAAATATTAAAAAATTATGGAAGTAAAACAAAAAATCTATGAAAATCAGAGCAGAGATTTCTCCAATAAACTGTGCTTATCTGCTAGGCAAATAATGCAAGAAAAGAACAGTCTATCATAAAGGAACAACTGGAAATTAGAGAAAGACAGATTTCACCATGCCTAACAATTACTCTATATCTAGTTAAAAATTAATATAATGAAGATTTGTCCAGATCTAGATTCAGCTTTCAGTGGTAAACAAAGTGGGAATCAGAAATACAAGTAACAGGAAGTAAACAGATTCTTAAACTTGAGAAACACTAGTTTTAAAGCATACATAGCTGAGATTAAGAAAGAAATGAGGCCACAATTATGGAAAAGTTCACAGATAAATGAAGGTTAATGTATCAAGAAACAAAAGCCTAACTGGGGAATGTCTGCTAATGCTAAAATACAATACATGCTTACTGACTAAATAAACAATCCTTCAAACCTCACCCTCTACCCCATAAACTGTGCACAGCTGTGGTAAAATCAAATAGCTGGCTGTATTGCCAGAGGGACAGACAATAAATCAGAGAGGAGGAGTTTTCACTTTGCCAAGTAAGACCTCACCTAATGCAACTATTCCACAAAAGCATATTGTAGTACACTGGCCATTATGCTCTTCAAAAGACTGCCCCTGAAGGAATATAATGGACACAGGATAGAACAATAAGAATGAGATACAGCTACAAAGATTTAAGTCAGAAAGAGTAGTTCACTGGGAAACCACGTAGTCTTTCATTATAAATAACATACTGGAATAACACATTTAGAAAAACAACGAGGAGTCCGGTGGCACCTTAAAGACTAACAGATTTATTTGGGCATAAGTCTTTTACCCACGAAAGCTTATGCCCAAATAAATCTGTTAGTCTTTAAGGTGCCACTGGACTCCTTGTTGTTTTTGTGGCTACAGACTAACACTCTGATACTAAGTTTATAAAAGTGATTGCTAAAAGCATCGATAATAACAAATTTGTACTACAAAAACACTAAAGAGGACAGTAAACCTGGCAACCTCAGCCTTGCATTAGCTTCATTTTTTGCATTTAAGAGTACAGTATTTACAAGGCCAATGATGGGTAAAAACTGACATAAATATACAGTTTTATAAAAATACAAGCTCAGTGTTTCTATAATTTACTGAGTTTATTTATTTATTAATGATTCCTTTTAGGAATTTAAAAATACGTTCATCTGCAGTGTTTGTAACACAAACATTTCAATATTGTAGTGGTACAACCTGTGCACACATCAGCCCACTCTAACAATACTGTGTTAAAAAGGCTGGCATCCACGGGAACCTTGCCACCATTAGGATTTCTGTTTCCACCAGCACCCATGTCGGTGGGAAATCCTTGCAAATAAGCCACCTTGTTGATATAGCCTTACAGTCCCACTCCACACCCAGCTTCATTGGCTTCAATCCTCCAGCTGAGCATCTGGCCACATACAGTTGAAGACCAGAAGTGACTATTATGTGTCTGTCTTCCTTCACATAATTTCAATACAAACTTCACCGAAAGTTCTCAACCCTTTTCAGGAGCAACTGTCTCTAGGAGCGAATGAGTAGTTTAAATTCAGATCTCATTTAATCCTTTTGCCTTTCCGATTAAACTAATAATGAGGACCCCAACTAGTGGTGGTTCTGATGTAGACACCATCTCAGTAAGGAACTGGACTGAAGCAGCCAACTCACAACAACACACTGCTCAGTCATGATGTTAGTTAGCCAAATGGGCTGTATTAGAAGCAGTGGCCAGAGATGAAAAGCTATTGACACAATACATTACAGTTTTTCACGGTTACTATTCTAAACTCTTTGTTTTAGAGATGCATTAATCACCAGCATACTTGTGCTCACACTTACCATCCAAGTTCCTAGCAAGAATGCAAATTCAAAATGAATACAGCAAATTATTTTTAAGTGTTAAAACATTCAGATTATACAAATAAAACAATTAATAGAAAGTGTAGATTATTTAGCTTAATGGAATTTAGATTTCTGCTGTCATTTTTTACTTTGCCAGCATTAGATATAATGGGGATGAGCTTTTATTGATATTTATAAATACTAGTTAAACACCCAGGTCATTAACATCTAAAATTGGCTAGAACACCATGCACACATTCACAGTGATAGACCTACTGAAAGACATGGGTTCATTGTACTGGCTCCACTCTTCAGCACAACACAACATCTGGTAACGGCTTAGAAAGAGTATTTATAAAGTATCACATCAAAGATCTATGCAGTGATGGTGAACCAAAACTGCTCATTCCCAAGCATCTTCCAAGCACCATAAAAATGGAGCTCTGGACACCCTACAGCAATTAAAAGAAAAAAAAATCTAAAAGAAAAATTAAACCACAAAACTGTTCAAAATGAAAACAAATTTATAGCTACACATTCAAGTGAATTCAGAGTTAAAGCTCAAGCTCTTCTCTTACCTCATGTTATTGAATCTTGGTACAGTATAGGTTGCTAATGTCCCTTCCACAGCCTCAGAGTGAGAAGGGGCTTGGGCTGGGGGGGGAGGAAGGTAAATAATTGCTCCCTTTAAGGACTGCACCCATCTCTCCTGCTTTAGGATTACAATAGGACTGGGTATTTTGAGTCCTGCTGTGGGCATCATGGATTTGCCTCTTTGGGGCTGAGAAGGACTTTTTCCTCCCTGACAGACAGGCCAGGGTGGGGTGGGTTTTTACCTCCCTCTCAGCAGCCCGGGGACCCAGTAGGGAAGTTAGGTTGTAACTTGGCAGGTGCCCAGTGCAGGTAATTGTTCAATACACATAAATACAATAAATGAATAATAATAGGGGTTCCAGCTCCCAGACCAACACAAACTGGAAGGAGATTAGAAGATGACATCTCCTAAAGAAGGCGGAGAACAGGCTGGGGCCCCTAACACTCCATCAGGGAGGAGACAATCCCCTTTTCCCAACCCTCCCCTTAACCTTCATACAAGGGGACGGTGATGGAATCCCGCAATGGCACTGGGACCAGGTTAACTGGGTGGGGGGCTCATGGAAGTCTTGCAGCAGGTGGTACAGATTACAAAGGAAGGATGACCTGCATTGAATGAATTATTGCCAGATAGTTCCAGATGTTTAACTTATTCAAGCTCCAGCCAAGTGAAATCACATTCCTGGCATCTTGTTGTCTTCCTGCGGTACCCAGGACAGATATACCTATGGCCATAGTTTCCCCTGAATGTGCATGAGTGACTCCAACTAACATTAGTGGGAATCATATGTGGGGATTGAGCCAGGATACTCACACATTTGAAATGCCCACTTACTCAGGCTTAACTCTGAGGGCCAGATTCTGCTCTCAGATAC